TTAACCGACCCGGAGGGATGGAAGGCTTGGTTGGCCCGGGCGACTCACGACCCAGGATTTGATCCCCGGACCGCTCGCGTGGTAAGCGCGCCACTTGTCACTACACCACTTCTCAGTTATGAAATATGTAAATATATGTGAGGGAAGCGTCCAAAAACTGTTAGAGAACTTCAGCTGTAATAACCTGGCTGAGAGACAGTCGTTGGCGGTGGCAAAATCGCTGCTGGTTTCTCGTCTGTATACGGATTAGGTGGTACTTGTTGTACTGGAAGAAGACACTGTTGTGAATTGAATACATCAACACTTGACACCACATTCAAAACACAGGGGCCCCCAGGAGGCCCGTCGCGCGGCAAGAAGGCAGAGTCGGCGGACGAGTTGCAGCGCGTGGTGTGCGATGTAGGACGTGCAAGTGGGACACTCTATTTAACTTGACGCGAAATCCCTATAGTACGCGCGCGACTCGTCCGCTGACTTTGCCTTCTTGCCGCGCGACGGGCCTCCTGGGGGTACCCCAAAACACAGGCTATCAAAGCAAAGAGTGTTTAAAGAGATGTAGAGAGTGGACATTTTTGAGGGATTAATACATTGAGCTTAGCCTAGACCTACATGAATCTTTGGCTTCAGCTCTTCCAGATAAAACAGTCGAACTGAGCTTGAGCGAAAAAAAAACTTGTTTGCAAATGTTACTTAGTATCAAAATTAGTATAAATACGGTACTGCTAATCGCAATTATATTCTATGCATATTCCATTTTATGCACATCCTTCAAAAATGCCATAGATCAAAAACTTGTATGTTCTACTTCGTTCAACCTATTCAACTTACCAATGACTTTCTTTGTACGCTTGGGAATCGGAGGATCTTTCACATCTCTGAAACAGTTGAGCATGATCACTGCTTGGTCATCTAGCTTTCATTACAATTTGATAACACATACTCTTTCTCTTCCTCTTTCTGCTCCGTTTTCACTTGACATGGAGATACACACAGATGGCAACAGCAATGTAGTATGCAAAACAAGAGAAATAATCCCAAAAGTAGAAGCAGCAGAATGAGCAACAGAGGCCAAGCCGTACACCAGCCAAAAATGTTCCATTGATCTGCACTGCAACCTAAACACCCAACTTTATGCTCCAGGTGACCAAAGTGAGAAAGCATTTTTGTTTTAGATAGATCTTTTGTCGCAGTTTGGTTTGTGTTCTGCAGCAGGTCAAAAAAGTTTGGCAAAATGTGTTGGTGAATACGCATCATGTTTCTATCCCTGTTCGTGGATAGGTCTCAAAGGCAGCGATTACGATAAGGAGGAAGCGCATCGGGAAGCATATGCACCACACGAAGCAGTTACTTGGCTGCCAAGGAAGCGAGTGTGGCGCTTTCACGACGAAAGGTGCGCTGGTTGCTGAGCAGGACTTCGAAAGCGCTCCGCCCCAAAAGCGATCCGCCCACTAGTTTAGTTGGTGATTTGGACGAGCTGCGTTGCCAGCAGCGGCACAACTGGAGCAACTCGATTGGAGCGTGGTTTGGCATGGTGCCACCAAACGCATTGCGGTGAACTCGTTCATACGTCCGATTTCTGAGCTGTTACCTGTTCATGAGTGAAAACCAACGGCCAAAAAAGGGGGTCCCGTTTTGCGTTTTCTTGACGGATTTCTCAGCTTTTTTCGCCACTGCGTGCATTGAGCACCATCACATCATCGTTCCTTTGAACCCTTCTCAAATCTATCGTAATCGCTGCCTTTGAAGGAATCCTTCGCGGAAAATTCTTGCATTCTTTCCTAACATGAATATGTCAGTTGTGATCACTAGAAATAGCACACAAAGTTTCACGCATGAAGATTCGGTTTCCGAAGAGAAACAAACTTACAAAAACCACACGCTATGGAAGTATGAGTCATAAGGTCAGAAAGACCTAGTGACAGCATTCCTTGAACCCAGAGGAAACGTTTACGCCGCCAGCATTTGTGACAGATATCCGGTGGTGTGATCGCATAGCAGTCCTTCCATTTTCTCGATTTTTTTTACCAGAACAAGTAAATTTTTTTTGAACCTATCGTGAACCATGGGTCCCAAGCCAGTGAACTATGGGTGAGATGGAATCGATTTTTCCGAGAAGGATTCCTTTAAGTCACAACTTTTTTCACGCATCCTCTATTCATTCAACGCACCGGCTGTGAAAATTTCGGGTCTATATTTGTATATAGCAGTCAATCATAGAGTTCTGTCGGATAACCAAAGTTCAAAAAGAAAGGACACTTGTGGGGAAGCTTACAAGGGAGGTCTTTCAGGGCAAGCCGCGCTTTTTCAAAACGGTTTTGTGCATATTGTAGGGACGCATGTAGGGAACACAAAACCATGTTTCATTTTCGCTGAACGGTTATAGCAGTACCAAAAAAGAAGCATAAGGTACTGTTAAGGGTTCGATCCCCGTGGCGACTAAATTTGCATTTGGGTTGGCGCCTACGGTTTGGTGCCAAATCGCGCTAAATGTCAGATGTTATATTCATCGTCAGGACCATTTTGAAGCCAAAAGTAGCCGCCAACCTTGATTGCAAAATTTAGTCGCCGCGGGGGATCGAACCATTGGGAGTACATTCACACTTTTTGGTACTACTAAAACCGTTCAGCGAAAACGAAACATGGTTTTGTGGTCCATACATGCGTCCCTACAATATGAAACCGTTTTGAAAAAGCGCGGCTTGCCCTGAAAGACCTCCCTTGTTAGAGGCGGGATATTCAGATGTTGTAACTAGTTAGAAGGTACATCTATGTCGGTTTCTTTCAAGGGGACATGGAGTTAAAGCTAGTTTTCAATTCGCAGCAAAATTAGAAGCAAAACAATTTACTCAATAGAGCAGGGATCTCTCTCGAATATAAAATGTCGTGAATCACGGAATTTTAGCGGAAAATTTCCGTCGTGAAAAAAGAAGCTACAGTGATTGTGGGACAATCTAATACATCTGTCTTCAAAGGAGCCTTCTCTTT